ACAACATCATTGATTGGCTGAGAGTCACCTGATCGGAGCACGACCTGGGTCACAGAACCATATTAGTCCGTATTATCAACAGGACTTTGCGAGAAAACCACACCCACATTTTCAACCATTTTAGCGCGGAAGTTGCCAACAAATGTCGAAAACTCGTGAATTTCATAAATTCGAATAAAATAAAGCTAGCGATTCGTAAGACTGCTTAATAATATATCCCCCGATGCTCTTCGATTTTTTTATTTCAAGGTGAGAAATGGATACTAGTAGTTGAAGTTCCATCGATTTCAAGGCGACTATTTAACCGCGACAACTCTACGCTCTGTTGTAGTTTCGCGAGGTAAAACAAAAACACAATAAATAGTACTTGTTTAATTATTTGGTTTTACAGCCCACAAATTACGGGATATGATCCCCATGAATTGCGATAAATAAATGCTGATTGTGTTGAATGACGGACGTCGGGACGTCAAGGTAAGAAATCGACATTTGAAACCGACAGGGTGTCGATTTACTAGGTGCCGTGTTTCACAACTTGTTTATTTATATACATATAGCGGATGATTTTTTTGTTGAAAATTAGTATTTATTGATTTTCAGCCCCCAAGTGACTGTGGTCAAAGGGTCAGATTGCGTGCATATAATTATAGATAGTTAAAAGTATTTGAACTTTTGACGGTTGTTCAACATCTATGCACGGTTACTAAACTAGTAACCGTGATCTATGAAAACCAGAAAATTTTTAGTAGTCCGAATTGTTGCACGGTCGAAAATAAAACGGAAATTGACCGGTCAAAAGCGGAAGCGGTCAAGAGGTTTGGGGGAAATGAGTACAGTACTTCTTTGTTTGATGAAGCGATGCTGATGCCACATTGTCGCCATAATGAGGCCACAATGAAGTGAAGCGATAATCGCCTAACTTTTTAATGTCGCGACATTGAAGCGATGCTGAAGCCATAACAATGCCATAATGATGCGATGCTGAAGCGAAGCTGACGCTGAAGTGAAGCCAAAGCTTCCGCGAGAACTGTACTGTACATATACACCAAGTATCAAAGCATTCAGGCTTATAGTTTGCAAGGAGAAGTAAAACAAAAAAGTAAAACATTGACACGGACGACGACGGGCAATCACTCGTATGATAAGCTCTGCTCGACAAAGTCGACAGCGGAGCTAACAAGTCATTGTTCTTCATAGCTATGATAAAGTAATATGGGCAAAAAGCAAGATGGCAGAAAGTCTGTAGTCTTACTGTAGTCTGAATCATCATAGACATGTATTGCTACATGCATATTGTATATACTAAATGTAAATCCTTATATTTGTTATGCAATCCAATGGAATATGCCAAAATACTAGTCATTTGAGCTGTAAAAGAATGAATAGTCAGAAATTTTATATTATTTCTTATATTTGTGCAAATTTTATAACCAAACTCAAGAAAATACATGTATGTAGTATTGTAAGTGTGCATGATGTTATGCAATGACCCCACTTCTAACAATGTTTTCATGATGAGAAATTAGCACATCACCATTGGAAAGCCTCCACAGATAGCTTCCTTTTTTATCTGTGTTGAGAATGCATTACCTACTAAAAATAAAAATTATGAATACACGAGGCGAGGCGAGTCTGTTTATCAATATGCATAAGTTTGTAAGGTATACTAAAAAGTTACTTTATTGAAATATATTTTACAGCAAGTGCACTATATTCTTGCTACTGCTAAATTGTAGCTAAAAGCAGTTAGAAACATCACCAGCCCTTGTTTATATTCAACTGCAAAATAATGTTCATGTTGTCACGTGGTGTAATCCCATCCAACAGTCATGTTACTAATTACAAAAACCATTTGGGTATTTTTTCAGTCGTTGCAAGTCTTTCCCTAATTCTACACATGTCACATTGATGTGTTACGACTGTGCATATTTATTCCACTCAAAGGATGGTGAACTTGTTTTCTGCCCTTATAATTTCTGTTCAACTTTTTGGCAATTGTGAACAAAATTTTAAATGGCATTTTTGTTTGTCACTTTATTGCCTTTTTTGAAATATTATTTGTAGATGATAAGTTTCTTGTTGGCATCATGGTATAACAGGTATATAGCATCGCGCAGTAAGTTATGTCACACCGTAACCGTATTATTATTTGTTCATTACTGTAAATATAAACATTTTAGAAGATGGCATTTGCACTATGATCAAGCTCATTAATATTCATTAGCTCATTAATATTCATAAGTTACCAGCAACCCCCCCCCTCCCATTGGGCTGGTGATATCTCTGCAAGTGTGATTATGTTCTTGATCATGAGGTTTATTGCATTTTGTCGGGATCCTCATACATTTTTGACAGATACACGGTGACCGAATTACAAGTATCTGTTTCAAACTTTATTCAAATGAGGACTAATAAAATATAATATATAAGCTGATACAATTTCAGTCATTTTGCCAGTGCCAAAATATCTGACTAAATACCAATCTAAATTTATAAAACATTGAAGAAAGTTTTTATAATAACAAGGTGTCAGAAATATGAAGATGTCTTAGACAAGCGAAATAATGGAAATACTGTCAGAATTATTGATTATTTGGTCATTAAAATTAAATTGAAAAGGTACTGGTGTAGACGACCCCTTAACCACAATACTTGAACACTAGAAGGCATTCTGGTCTCATTGATAAATAAGACCCTTTATTTAAAGTGTAGCAGTGGTTCAAATACGTGGTTGGAAAGGTAAGGTGGATTGCAAGTATGCCATCTTGTTGATAGGGACAATATATTATATTAATATTCAACAGATGGAAAAAAATCATTCATTTGTACTCCCTTGTGAGATGTTTCAGTACATGATAAACATTACAGGTTGATTAAAAGTTGATATCAGCATTTGAAAAACATGTCTTAATATCAATCACTGTCAGAAAAATATAAATATTACAAACTAAAACACAATTGACCACCATAGACACAATAACATACAAATATATGTCCTCAGGAATATTGCGTTAATTGAATAACTGTAACATACATTGTTGTTACCCAAGTGGAATAAATATAAATCAAAAGACTGCACAGAATGAAATGTGGAATCCCTATAGTTATGTTATTTATGTTAAAAAATGTACATGTGGAGACATCCTCATAATATAATATAGAATTACTTTTTATTTGCCTTTCATTTATATTTGTAAGACGTATATAAAGAGTTGTTCTGAATTTGTGCTCCACTAAACACATTATAAATATTTTCATTGAAGAGGAGTTCCTTCCAATATCCTATCCTCTTTATTTATTAATCCAATTTGAGATATTATAGAATAAAATAATAATACTAATGACCTCTTGACATTTCATAAGAACAAGACTTCATTATTAAAAACATGGTCTGGAATGTAATTCAATACAATGATTTCAGGAACAGACTGAAAGGTTCATCAATCATATTACAAAGGCTATTTAAATTTACCATATTTGTTCTAACAGTGTGTCTATTGCCTAAATGAGTTGTATTTTATTTAATGATAGAGTTTGGTTATGTACACTGCCAATAGAGCAAATACGATACTTTAATTATACGAGAAATGAATTACTGGTATAATAATATGCTGTACTTACTATTCTTTAAGATCTTGAGGCACATCTATACAACACTTGAAGAAGGTATTTTTATTAATTGATGGGCTAAGACAATGAATAAGAAAAAAAACATATTTGAGAATCATGAAAACTTAATTTATAGTCACACTACATAATTTAAAGTTGATTGCATATACAAATTTGTTGAAATAATATTTGGTCTTACTTGATATTTTTGGGTCGTAGCCTGTCACCTTGCACTATTTCATTGAATGTTGCATCCCAGCCAACATATTCTATCACAAAAAACTATGAGAAAATATTACTTATTAGTATCAAAATACAATTATTTACACTATAAATGTTATTAATACAATTCATTTGAATAAATTCAAACTTTTAAAACTTACCTCCCCCTTGACCATACTAATTTTGGCTAACCACCAACCACATGGCTCATCTTCACTAGAACGTGAATAAACCTTCAACAAAACACAGTAAATATAACATTAATTCCAACAGATTCATTTGCAAAAAAAATTAAATCAACATAAACCACATTTTGGCTTTGTTGTCATGTTGGTAATAATTATCTAGAATCTGCAGAATTGCTTTCAATTTTCATGGTTTGCTGGTTTAAGAACATTCACAGAGACAAATGAAAGCCACTAAAGACTTAATATCACTCCAGTAAATGTTCACTGCTATAAAATTTTCCAGCTACATGAAATAAAAACAGTTTACAGCATTCCACAATACCCACCAGACAAATAAATAAACTGGTAGATAAAAATGTAAAGCAGAACTAAGTTATCCATTCACGTACACACAAACTATCAGAAACATCTTTGTCAACAGCTTTTACTTCTAGCTTGATGACCTTTTAACCTCAAAACACATTATGTAAAGTTCAGTCTTCCACTTAAGTGCATCTGTATACCGATAACACTGAAATAGTAAAACAGCTGCCATCACACCTTTGCCTGTAACGACCAACTTTTGTTTACTAGATTTATGTCAGAAATACAATTTAAAATACATATGATATTTGGTAGGAATATAACCACCTCCAAATTACTGTATTGTATGTTGCTCAACTATGTGGTCATTAAATTCCTTAGTTCATATATCCAAAAAAGACAATGCCAGACTTCTCACCTCAACTTCATCACCGGCTTTAAGTTCATTATTTTCTATACTGACTGGTGGAAGACGCACATCACTAAAAGGAACACGTCGTTCTGGAGTCCAGCTATTTGATTAAAATCAATAAAACACAGTTTATATATAAAGGTAACATTCAATATAATTCAACACTACTTGACACTAAACCACAAAATTCATCATTAAATTTTGTAATTTGGGTATACTGAATGAACACATGTGTATTTAATGTGTTCAGTTCACTCAATAAAAGTTTTATCCAATGTTGTATAGCATTGTGGAATTAATAGCAGTCTAGCAAGTTTTGTATTCCAAACAGCAATTCCTTATGAATACCGACTAAAATTCCAAGATTACTATTTCAAAGAAATATTTGAATACAAAATCACTCGTTGAAATAATAAAAAACTTAATGCAGTTAAACAAAAATATTCAGCAATCATCTTGTTACAATATAAATGAGAAGTGTGTATAGTAAATATATGTACTCACTCATTTTCAAATGCTACTGTAACCTCTTCATCATGAATGTTCTTAACGAATGCCTAAGCAAGTGAAAATAGCAATTACTAGTACTGCATTCACATAACATGGACTAACAATACTTAAAAAACAAAACAAGATATGTACGGTTGTCTTGAATGAATATAATATCAGGGTAGAATAACTTTGTAAGTGACACAATAAATAAACATGCCAGTTCACGTTGCGAATCTTGAAAACTAATAATTCAGTAAAACAAATCGACAGTATTCTTTTTTTTATTAACTTATCTCCAAGGTCAAAAAAAATTTATTTTGCTTCTCATCTTAGGGAAAATTTAATTATGACATTGTGGAACTGTTTCAATTTTATTTTGTATCAAGACCACAACAACAAGATATAAGGTATTATTTTCCTATTCTACTGTATGTGGAATAATTTACCTGTACGCAAAATTGCAAACAAAAATGAGGGAGATGCAGGTTTCAAACTGATGCACGAGATGAAGGGAAAACAAAACCTATTTTTTCGGCCTAAAGGTAAACTTGTAGTTGAGGTTGTTCAAATACATGAACTAATAATGGAAAGAGAATGAAATTAACACATATGGTTATATTTTGAGATATACATGGATCAAGTTACACATGGTCTGTCATTGATGCTAGCTGCGTTTATATTGTAACACAGAAGGGTATAATAGTACACTAATGTAAGTATCACATCTCCAAATGATGGAACATCGCTTTGACCTATGCTTTCCTGAATATTTTATAACTGCCTTTTTTTATCTCATTAGCACTGCAATTTAGGTCATCTAAATTTTATATACATTGCGAGCAAAATTTATGTACACACTATATCCTATTTTGAGAGCTTGAATTACTAAACTTCTGCAGATGGGTAATTGGTTTCATATATTTTAGCATACTCCCTACAGTATCAAGAAGAATATAGTGGTATTTGCGTTCCAAGATTTGCTTTTGGGTACCCTGCAATGATATGATACAAAAGATTCACCGTTGATATGTTCTATCAATACAAAAGGCTTGGAACACAAATAGTTAGTTGTGTAGCAATGACCACCACATGATAAAAGTGAGTTGTAAGGGCAGAACAATGTGTTGGAAATATAAAGGCTGAAACAACAATAAAAGTATGAAAACAAAATAATAAAAATTACCTATAATAGTCAATTCTCAAAAAAACTATTCTCAGACAAAAAATATATATATTGTCAATATGAGGCTTTTATAAAAATGAATTACTAATGAAATTGTAACCTCCCAGCCTAATTATTCATAATTATTCCAGTTTTAATGGCTGCATGGTAATTGCTAACGCTGGGATGTATGAAATTTCTTTCTGCATGGTACTAAAACAAATGTAGTATACCTATAATTATACTAATGTAGTCTGTTGAATAAAGAATATCAGAGCATTAAGAATCAAAACAATGACAAACATTATTACCAACTGTTTTACAAATCCCAACAGAATTTTAAAAACTCTCTTAAAAACAGCTGTACTTGGATGGCATGTTTACTTGAACTTTGACATGCATATTTGGAACATAATGCCAATGAAAAAACAATATATTATCTAAAAACAGTTTCATCAATGGGTTACAAAACAAGTCAACGTTGGTAAAATTTCAATCACTGAAGAGTAACACAATTCTACTTTAGCTTGGAAGGAAATAAGGTAAAACAGTCATAACAGTACCGGTTACCAAAATAGCACACTCACATAGCCGGTCTTAACTTTTCAATCATAACAGCAAATCAATCAGAAGACTATCATACTGAACTGCTTTAAATTCCAGTAATATATAAATATACTCAAGAGCCAACTAGTCGACCAGTCAAACAGTGAATATTTGGCATTTTTTTGTTAGACATCTATGTGGAACTGTATCCCAATAAGGTACTTTCCATGATATGGTAAATGGATCTACTTTGTCATTTTGTATCGTAAGCCAACAATTTAGGTTTAAGAATGCTAAATTCACCAAATTCTACAGAAATATATCTTATTGGATTCTAGTTACTGGAACAGCTACAAAACATGGATATTCTTCATTACAACATTTAATTCACTTTTGGTATTTTAGGGCTGAAAATTGGTCAGAAAATTATCAAAGTCAGTCAAAATTTTATAAATTTTCTAGCTTTAAGAGAAAAAAGTAAAAATCAAATATACTGAATCTGACAGTGGTACTTGTCCTATGAATTGTCAGGTTACATTTTTTAAAACAGGCATCCATGCAGAATCATACAATGTAAAACTCATCAGAGTAGATGCCCTTTGTGCTGAAGACCAAAATGTCTGAAATTTGTTAATAAAATGGTCTGTATATATATTTGTTGAGGTAAGTGATTGCTATTAGGGCAAGCTTCAAATATGAAACTCAACTAACTCGTGGTGCTTGTAACTTAATTTGTTTCACTTTAATGCCGAAAATCTTGTCCATATACCGGTAGCCAAAATTACCATTTTCAATAAGAATTGCCCTACTTTCCTAAATAACTGTAGACACATGCACAATGAAATATATCCCATATAAATACTCTGTGATTCAGATGCTCACCAGACATCAATTTGCAGGTATTTTTTTAAGATTTCCTAATTTTGTTCAAACATTTCTGACAAAGGACCTTAGTGCTTTTTGTCAATTTTTTTCAGTTCTACATCCAAAATATGGCAAATAATTAGAAATGACAAATGAAATTTGTACCAATTTTTCTCTAATATCACAGGGTCTGGTAGCGACTTCCAAACTCGCTTGTTCAAAATATATGCTGCCGATATATGTTAAGGTGAGTGAATTACTATTTAAATTTAGGAATGCCAATTTTACTTGTTCAGGGCTATAGGACTACCCTAAGTGCCTGGCCCCGTAATAATTTTAAGGAAGTTGAATTCCAATGTTGCACTACTGAGTTAGTTACATCACACATGTGCAATGTATTATGGGAGAGATATACTGGAAAAGCATCACACTAAAAATGCACTAAACGTCAATTTTTTTTTACAATATTAGGATCCATGTTAATATACAACTTTCTTATCTTATGTCACAAAGAACATTTTTGTGATATGAAGTAATAATTTAAACATAGAACCTAGTGCAAAAACTCAAAATTTTGCCATAATCCAGGAACATATAATCTTAAATTAACCTTGAACTGAATCGATTCTGACCTGCATTTTGAAGGCTAAAACACTGATAAAAACACATTTGACAGATTGGTCACTACTGACTTTACGTATGAAACCAAATTGTGGGCTTAAAATGCAAAATCACAGAGGGCATCCACCCCTACCATGGAAAGTAACTTACTGTAATACAATTCAACATGGATGTCATCTAAAGTATTACATAGTCACATTTCCAGTATTTGGCTAGTCAAATTTTAAAATAGAAGACTAACCAATAAGAACATTTTCTGATTAACATATAAACAAGAAGTACATAAAATTAGACATATTAGTTGTAATAATTAGCTTTGAGTATTTAGTTCACAATAGCTACCAACAGCACACACATCTCCCAGAGATATTATTAAACACAGCAAGAGATCATGACTCGGCCTTCACTAATTGGCACAACAAATACTACATATTTCACATTATCACATCCTGGTCATATAGTCTTCCAGCTTTGAAAATCAGATCACATGTACCGTAAGATACCACACTAAAAATAATTTTCTCAACAGAGTTATTTATAGGAATTGTTTTATGTCGAAATAAATTGGGATTTACAAATGTTTCCATTGGAAGTATTTATTGCAATATGCTGTCAGTTATCCATTTTTCAAGCTTAAGACTACTATGAAATATGATTGGGCTAGGTTTCAAAAACAATGTCCCAAATTCAGATAAACCATGACTGACATAATTAGATGAATATGACCCAAGATTTGGAGTGCCTGTATAAAGTTAGAAGATACAACACTGATCTCATGACTTTACCTTAGAAGGCTTTACTGGGGATAATGAGCTATTTACTCTTATCTTATACATTAGCTATATCATTTTCTAAATACTGTCTGAGACAATTTACTCACCTACATGTACATGTATTATGCAAAGGGAGTAGGATAAGTGGTAGTAGAATAAAGAGAGAATACAATATCTAGATAGCTAAAACACAGAGCTTGTAAATTTGTTATGTAAAATATTTACTTCAAGCAATAAATGTCTACAGGCAATAGGAGCTATTTCGAATAGAAGCTTTGCAATCATATCCAATGAGTAATATTATTACTACACAATGTGATGACTCACTGTTCACAATCATGCATATATAATTGTTTCTAGACCTTATACTGTGTCTGTAAAAAACAATGTAATACAGTAATATATATAATTGTATAAGTGTAACACCTGCTGATTCAAGCAGGACAAGGTCAACTGAAATATTGCTTATTCAAGTTATTGTTATGTAAGTTGTTGCACATTCCAAGAGAGGAACAGATGATCAAAACAAGTACTTCCAATAATAAACTACCCCTCTCTCAGAGTAAATAGGGAGTTGGACAGAAAACTATGCTGACATGATGTAACACCAGTAGCTGATAATATAAAAGATCGTTTAATACATTTCTCGACAAGACAGAACGTGAAGTTCAACTTAAATTTACAACTTTGTTGTGTTGTTCAACAACACGTACAACTTGTACTTAGGTACTGGGTTCGTAAAAATCACTGATATTTGAAGACATTTTGGCCAAAATATTAGAGTTCTAAATGTTATGAAAAACATGTTTACATATTTAGGCTTTTGAACGAAATCAAATATTGACTAAATGAACTCAGACAGACGGTCATGGGCATGCCATTTGCAGTGATCGGGCAAAAACAAAACCGACGTTACGTACATGTTGGAAACTGGATGAAACTCGGCCAAATATTCCCCCAAAAATATCTTGAATTCAGTGTAAACATTTAACTGACTATTCTCCCAAATTGTGTCTACAGAGATAACAGTTATTTGTATATAACATCGGCGTTAAATGTTGTCATGACCTGGAATGTTCTCAAGCAGCACTTTCTGAGAAGCGTCATGACATGCTCTCATTGTTTATTCAGTACAGAGAAAACGCGACATTTCGTTCATTCAGAGAAAAGTAAATTCAACAAAACTTCACACACATATAGTCCGAAATCACATCTACAACATAAGATCAAAATAAAGTGAATATTTTGAAAATTCTAGTAATTTTACCTTGTAATATGCCCCATTGCTGCCGCATACTTCTACAGACAGTTCGTCCATCTTGAATTTGCATAGCATTCTGGGTAATAACAGTAACTCGATATTTCCTAAATGCCTGACGCATGGGATCATAGAAATGAAAATAGCCGAACAAAGTTTAATACAAACAAATTAATACATAGCTGTTATTAAGTTATTATGTTCTCGTTTCAATTTTACTTTCAAATTCGGGTAATCGATCGGTATAAGCTATGATGGTTTACATGTAATTTTATTATTGCGACCATTATTATTGACTGTTTCCGAGAAATGGTGACTACCTTGATCATACTACAGATACGCCTGAAAGAGTTTTCACTTGGCTCTACCAAACACATGACACTGACCCCGAGTTTCCCGCATTCGTTCGTTATATATAATTTATACTACGCCGGAACTAATCCGAAAATTCTGCTGACATTCGGAACCTGGATTCGACAAGTCGTTCAATATACTGTCAAAACTACAAGACCATTTCCTTGATTTTTATAAATACTATATTTGATAAATGTTGTTGAAAATTTGTATTTTTTATTCTAACCCTATAGAAATAATATAATAAACAACTTTTTCCTAATATATTTTCCATTTTTAATTTAGACGTTAAAGTTACAGAAGGTTAAGTTACAGTTAGTCTTGTTTTCTTGTAACTCTTGTTTTTTTTATTTTACTTTTACATGTAATTTTATTTTAATACTGTTATATTTTGTATTTGTAAGTAACATTTGTATTGTTACGTTTTGTGTAAATGTGTATGTATTTGTACTTATTTTTTGTTCACGTTTAAAGGCACATTTACTGAATCTTATTTTCATGATTGCCGTTCAACCGCTTGCCTAACAAATTATGAACAGTTTTACCAGTTTTGTAGCATTATTATTGACACCCAATAATCACCTACGTACCTTTATACTACCATTTCTTTATTCTCAGTCATCTCTACTTCCCTAGATTTCACACCATATAGCTTACACAAAGAACGACTAGTTTGTCAAACAATTTCAAGACAGTCTTAAACTGAAACTGGAATTGAATATGTGTGAACACATACATCATACAACAATATAATATATGGAAATGGTATCAAATGAAAGTTTTAATAAAAAGATGGAATAAGAAAATTAACAATGAAATTAAAAATATAATTTTATACAACTGTACAGCGGAATATTTTTTTAAATATTCAATAAAGTTTTGATTTTTTATTTAAGAGCTGAATACAGAGGAAAGCAGGTACGAACTGGTTATTAGAAAAATGTGGGGAAACTAATAAACTTACAACATATAGAAAATTTGTATCAGACTTTTGATGATTGAAACAGAAAGACAAAAACAAATCCTTCAATGTGAAGACAAATTAACCAGTTGTTGACCATTCTGATGAGGTTTTCACATACACGTGAGTTGAACGCGTTTTTATTATAACTCACATATTACGGAGGAATAAACCCCCACAAGATTTAAATTCTACGCGAGAATTAACTAAACTTGGTCCGTCTAACGCCATTATGATCAGAACGTTGTCATACAGCCCCTGACACGTTGTCACAAACATGGAATATGTGTTTTGTGACCCAAGGCAAACATGTCAGCACTTGCAAATTGAAATTTACACACAAACTGAAGTCGGGACAGACAACTGTAACAGGACACAAACAAAAGTAGAAGTTAACCACTTCCAGGATTCTTCTTCCAGAAGGGCATTATTTTTTTATTCATTATGCGATTGTAATATTTGATCTACATCAAATGAGTATTAAGTTACCGATTTGTCTATAAAGATCTTTTTGGGTGTATTTTTGTGACGCCAAGTATAAACCGGACAGTCGCTTAGGTGTACGACCTAGACTAACTGATTCGCCATGAATTTCATGGAATTACATAAAAGTGGGATGCTTGAGAATGTCTCCATAATAATTTCACAAAACAAAGACAAACTTACTGAGTAGTGCATAATTGAGACCTCCCTCCCGGGCGGAGGCGGTTGGATGATCAAAGTCGAGCGTTCAGAATTTCGCGAAAAGGGTCATTTTTGATAGTTTTACATATTCGCAAAAAAACAAAAAAGGTGAAAATAATTAAATCATAATTAAAAAATCGTTTATTTTTCGTCCTGGAAACGAGTACGGTCCGTTTTGTTTGTACCTGCCGATTTCGCGTTATCTCTCGAGCAGTGAATCCCCGCCGACCTGATCTCCCGTCACTATAATGAGCCAGAGTAAAACAGTCATAAAACATAAAATATAAACAATACTGTGTGTAAACTTTTTTTTCAATTCAGCGTTTCTTCGAAAGATTGGGGTGGGATAATTGTTTGATATTGTTCTATTTTACAACGCCCATATGTCCTTTGTTTACACATATAATGTCGCCATTATAAAAATGAAAACTAAACAATTTATTTTAGGCAGAAATGTAATTAAATTATATTTACAGTTTCCAAATTCTTTTGTGAAAAAGTGAGCCAAAATAATTGAAATTAATTTTACCCTTTGTTACTATGAACATGGAGGCAACAATTTGGGTAAAACACGTGTATTACCCCGAGTGTTACCTCCGTCATAGCGTTACCCGATCTTACCTATCTTACGAGCGCCACGAGTTGAATGAACTCAGCACTTCTGGCAGTCTCGCAATTCGCGAGAGTTCGCGACATGTTATCCAATATGGCGACTGTGGGAAAATACGGAATTTGGTATCTCAGCGTAAACAAACCCTGAAACCACCACCCACTCACCAAATTTGAAATTCCTGCTTGTTCGTGAACTAGAATCTTGAAATGTATCAAAATGTCATCTGAAAGTGATTCTGACGAGTTCTATGATGCCACCGAAGACGTGAGCAGCCCAGCAAGGTCAGTCGTAAACTTGAACAAAAACTTCAAAGGATTGACGACACCATCCTTTAGGTTCGTTGTATTGAACCACACCATACTTTTATGATATTTATTACGCTACCTTTTCACATATTGTTATTTTATATCAAGCTGCAAGTTACTTATCAGTGTGAAAGTCAGTAAGGACTAAATGCATGACAGTGATTTATCAATTGGTGTTGGTTTTGTGATTGTAATCATAATCATGTACC